AAAGCGTGGGGCGCATGTAATACACTTGAATTGATATGAAAAGTAATATATGTATGTATGTATGTATGTGGGTATATGAATAACGACCGCTTAAAATCGATTTCAAAGTTCTACTTTCGCTGTAGAAATTTTAGGTCTACGTTATGTAGTTTGACTATTGTCAATTAAATCGAATGCTTTGTATTGCATGCGCTCCACGTTTTTCATTTTCAATTTCATAGATTGTTTATAATGACTTTTGCTAAAATTTCAAAATCAAAAGTTATCAAAACAAATTCTGTGGGACTGAGAAATATTATTTTCTATTTTTTAGTCCATTTATAAAAGCGTTGTATATTAAAAAGATTTTTTTTTATATTATTTATTTAATAATCGGATTTAGATGTGATGAGTTTGAATATTTTCTACAGTAATTTTCACGACAATCAAAACTATTAAAAACGTCACACAATCGAAGATGATTAGTTACAAGCAAATAACGGTTCGAAAATGTCGTGAGAACTTAATTATTTAATGATATCGTATTATTTGCATAATTTGTATATATACTATAGAACTGCGCTTATTACGGTAATCAGTAGTACTTAATCTAAGTGTTATAACGTTTCTAAGTACATACATATGTACATACGTACATACATTACAAACATTTGTATGCATCCATTTGTAGATAGCGTGTTCATCTACATATATGTAAATTTAAAATTGCATTTCTCACCACAATTGTTACTATTCATTTGCTGGATACCTATTAGGTACACATAGTTCGCTCATTTGTGTTTCATAACTATAGCTCATACTGAACTTTGAGATATATCGAAGTGGAGTAACTAGAAAGAGTTTTCGTATCGCTGGAATAAATCTGTGGTGGAAGGATAAAAGTGATTAAGTCTATAAATTGCGTCAAGGGCGTCTTGATGTTATGACTATCAAAAAAATTTCCAACCCAAGTTAGTTTTATAGGTCCCCCAAGATCCCAAAAAACGCTATGGAGGATCCATAAAAAGTCGTTGGTATTAAAAAATGGTAAAAGAAACAAATGTGTATTATTATTGGAAGTCTTTTGAAGAGAAACAGGATTTTCCGACCGAAAAATATTTATTTTCAAGGATTCTATACCATTTCTACGAAAAAGCATTTTCGCCCCATATAAAATATATGGAAAACTTTATGGGCTTCTCGAAATATCATAAAAAATATACAGGTATTCTTTTTTCCATTTAGAAAAATCCTAGGGGGTGAGAGCTTAACATTTTTAATCTTTTTTTGGACCACCCTAATATATAGTACATACATATATACATTTCCAAATTTTTCCAAGTTAAAGCAATTGTCATTCATACCTTTCCAATTTACGATTTTCGTCCTTTGTGTTAGGGATTTTCTACATTTTCTTTTTGATGTATAAACATCTTAGCACTCGGTACACTGAGAAAAAAATCAACCAAAAATTGGTTAATATTACCAAAGTCAAACTTGAAGAGGAATCAATGTGATTTTTGGTTAATATTAACAATGCCTTGGTTGATGTTTTCAACAATGATTTAGTAATATTAACCAAACTTTTGATTGCAGATTTTTTCGTTTGAGTACGTTTATGTTCTGCACTTCACAGATGCTTTTTCATAATTCGGAGATACAAAACAAAAATTTGTATAACCATTTTAATACGTTGCCTCTAACGGGATTAGCAAATAACAGCAAGCATATCTACACACTCAGCTACAGCCGCTGTATAAATGTGTCTTCAAATGTTCAACTTGAATAAATGTTCTTCGTCGTTTGATTTGGTTCTGCACTTTACAGAAGCTTTTACGTAATTAATAAAAACCAAAAACAGAAAAAAAATAATAAAAATTGTGTATCGCGCTGACGGCATTCGTACTGCTGGAAGCCAACAAATACATAACAGCAAGCATCTCTGCACGTTCAGCCACTGCTAAAAGTACATACGAATTTGTTCTCAAATCTTCAACGTGAATCACACTTCTTAAAATCGGTTTATTAACCATGAAAAAAAATTAAACCATAGCTTGGTTGAAAAAACCATTGTGCTTTTGGCTCAGTGTATGGGTAAAATTTGCATTAACCCAGCACAACATTTGTAATTGCTTCCAAGCATTGTAACCCAGCACGAAATTGTATTTCAAGACCATACTGAGACTAGTTCACGACTAGTTTAGTTCGGGACTAGGTCGGGATTATTTTGATACCTGTTCAGGATCATTTCGGGTCTTGTTTGGAATCGTTTTAGGACTAGCTCAGGAGAATTTCGGATCTTTTTTAGTAAAATTTTGGGGATAATAAGGAACTGTGTCAAGACTTGTTCGAGATCAATTGTTGACAAGTTCACGACTTTTTGAGAAGCACTTCAGCACAATTTCGGGGCTAGTTTGTGATCATTTCCTTATAGTTCGAAATTGGTGATAAAACGAATACAAGACTATGAAATACTTTGAAGAAGTGGTCACCTAGAAATCTGACATATATTTTTCGCAGTGAAAAGGACTTGCATACATACAAATAGCTGTGTGTTTTTAGTCTGGTGGCTAGGAGGACTATTTGCTCAATGGGAGCATCTGCGCCTCGGTATGTAGATGATGTTCTGTGGATATGAGCAGTCATCCCGTAGTTGTCTGGAGTGATCTGGAGTTTAGAACCGATCGGCGCATTGCCTTCTATTTTATATACAAAGTTTCTTTGTGTTTATAGATTTTGTTGTGTCTCTGCATTTCATTGGCAAATGCCGTCGAAAGTTATACCGAGATAGCATTGAGTCTTCAGCTTGCTCTGCTGTTGTATTACCGGCTGGTCTGCGGGGCTGTTAGAACCTTCGTTTGTCGAATACTGAATACCTACCTCCAGATAAAGAACATCGGAACGTGACACCCAATATATCACAGACAAGATTAAGGCGATTAACTTAATCAGAAAATAGCGACATATTTAGATTGAGTCTGCCATCGTGGTCCTATATAGATTTATACATAATTCATTTTAGAATCACAAGTGATTTTGGAAGTACGTAAGTCTTAAAGAAAGTCTTATAGTTATGAAACGTAGTCATGAAATTGTGATCATTTATAATAACACATTAAGGGCCGTTTTCTCAAGTAACCTGTAACTTTAAAGCTCACTTTATATTTAAAGGTTGCGTTACAAATAAAGCTTTCTCTAAAGTGGGACATTTTATTATCGGTTTTAAATTGGTTTACAACCAAAAACATACATACGCCAAACACCGATAATAGAAATGCCTAACTTAAGACAAAGCTTTATTTTTAACCAACCGTTAAATATAAAGTGAGCTTGAAAGCTAATGGTTACATCTGAAAACGGCCCTAAAACATACAGTGTATGCAATATCGACCTATGTATGTACATACCGACATATTAGAAAAATGGCTTATGGCCCTGTGTGTTCATACATACATACATATATACATATATCAATCGCTGATAGCCAACTTGGACAAGTTTTCTACATAAAAAGTTTAGTCGTACGGTAACCAACTGTTGTAACGGTCGCGTGTGCTTATCTGTATATTAATGTGTGAACAAAAATAAATTAGCAACTGTGTGAGTTTTCAAAGTAGACGCGCTTTTCTGATTAAGATTATTGACCTATGAAATTAAAAACATTTTGCTTTATTCTACAAACAGGTACACTTTGTTTTTTTTTTTTCTACTTTTGGCGATTATTTGGAGAGTGGTCAAACATGAGAGATAACACTGGTCGACTGTGGGGCAAATTTGGCAATGGCAAGTGTGAATTTTTTTTATTTAATTTTATGGAAAGTGTTACGCTGATTATATTTGTTGTATTTTTTAGGCGAATTCGAAGTCAGAAGTCTTACCAAAGCTGATCTAGAGGAAGCCTTGCAGGTAAGTTGTTCAGAAATGTTCTTTTATCATATACAGAAGTTCTGCCAAAGGGAAAGAATTAAATTTTTTTTTTCGAAAGTTAAACGAAGTCTAAATTTCACAATTTCCGGGATTTTGCAAGTTTAATTTGGAATAGCTCAAAAACCATTATAGTTACGAAAGTGGTTCTAGTCTCGTTTTGAAGGTTCTATTAAGGGCTAAAAAGTAAATATGCTATATAAAAAACCAAAAAAAAAAAATTATTTATTATTGGAATTAAAAAAAAGATCCTTAAATTTTCAAGAATATGTTTTTTCAAATATATCTGTTTTTTAACCCTGACACATTTTTTTGCAAACTCCACAGAAAGTTAAGCTAAACAATTTTTAATTAATTTGAATTTATTTTTAAATTTGAGTTTCAAATAAATTTTTTTCAAAGTTCAAAAATTGATATCTAAAAAAAGAAACAACTTGAAAATTTCAGGATCTTATATGATCCGTTAGAGGTATTGTACAAAAAAAATTGAGCCGAGATTTATATAAGTTTTTTTAATTAACGTTTCTGCGATTTTTTTCATTAAAAAAATCTGTAATTTCATTTTGATTTTTCGAACAAAAAATTCGTTTTTTGAACTTTTTTATATAGATCCAAATATCACGTTAAACACGAGACCAGAACCATTTTTTAACTGCTGTAGGTTTTGAGATGTTCAAAAAATAAACTTGTGAAAATTTTAAGCTTCGAAAAATTTTTAAATTTTTTTTTCCTTTAGCAGAACTTCGTTATATCTATACATAGACCTAACCCGAGTAAAAATCGATTTTCAGATTATTACATTAATGATTAATCCACCATCATCGCTCATCTCTGTATACATGAATTATAAATTTACGATTATATATCTGAAAATCGATTTTTACTCGCGTTAGGGTCCTTTTCTTTAATACGCTAACTTAAATTTTGTCCGCCTTCGTTTGGCGATTGTACCGAATCGATTCCAAAACCAAGAACACCTTGAGAAGGGTATCTTTCTGTAGATGAGGATAGTTTCAAAATTGGTTCAAAATTACGGTCAAAATCGTCGTTTCAAAATGTCCGTATTTGTGTATAGTTGTTGTTGCAAACTGTTCAATTTGAATTGTTTTCGCATTTTGTTTAACTTCGTATTTGAAATGCAGCTTTGTAATAAAGATTGCAAAATGATAATAATGAGTAGTGTAGGGTAACTGAAAGGGTAAGAAAATTCATTGAATTTTTTTTGAAAAGAATTGAAATATATCTAGTCATCGCAAATTTAGTTATCGAAAGATATCAAGTTTCTTATCACCAAAGTTTATAGTTATCGAAATTTAACGGATCATCCATGTCTATTAAGTTATCGGAATGTATCGAGTTATTGCATTTGATCAATGTTTATTAAGTTATCGAAATTTATCGATACGCAGAAACTTATTCATCGAAATATACCGATAATTCTCGAGCTACAAAAATTTATCGGATTATCGAAATTTATAAAGTTAACAAAATTTCATTTCGTATATTTATTGGATAATCAATATCTATCGAGTGATCAAAATTATAGAGTTATCGAAGTTTATCGAGTTAATGAAATTCAAAAAGTAGACGTGATATATCGAGTTCTTTCAATTTATCGAGTTATCGGTATTTATTGATCTATCGAAATTTGTAGGTGGCTATCGAAAATTTTCAGTTTGTGGAATCGAAGTTTTTGAAATTTTCAAAGTGTATCGGGTTGTCTAAACTTCTAGAAATACATGAATTTATCGCGTTATGGAATTTTATCGAGTTACCACAGTGTATCGAGTTATCGAAATTTGTCGATAGATATGAAAATTTATAGATCTATCAAAATCGAGCTATCGTTATAAATATGTATGTATGTATGTATATACATATGTTTATCGAGATATGTAAATTTTTGAGTTATCTAAATTTATCCAGTTCTGGAAACGAACAGTTATCTAAATTAATGGAGTTGTCGAATTTTATCGAGTTATCGGTTATAAGGATTTTGAAATTCATAAGTTTTTTTTTTTTAATTTGTCAAGTTATCGAGATGCATAGTGCCCCATGGTTCCCTTGTCACCGTAATTGAAAATTGTGATAACTCTTGGTCTGAATTTTCCCCATTTAATCATTTGACTTTCAGGCGTAATATGCGAGTCGCCTGACGCAACATAAACACAATGGTAGCTTTGTTGAATGGTACTCGCCTGTGATTGTGAAGTTTTAACTGCCATTTCAATTGGCTTTGGAATACTCATCTCTCGCATTCATTTGCCATTTTCGTTGCAGCGTACACAGTTTCCAATTAGGTATTCCCGCTTTTTGGTATGACCTGACCTTTATTTTTTTATGGCCAATTGTATGCTACTGCCAGTAGATATCGCCAATCTTTATTATAGTAAAGAATCTTAATCTAATTGTTAAACTAATCAATTGCACATGTCACTTCAAAACACATATGTAATTAAGTACATGTGTTCAATATTTAAAATTAATTGGCTGATATTATTTGAATTTATCTTATCAATCAATTAAATTATATCTTAGATTTTTTATTTACTCTACGTAAATGTGAGTTTTACAAAAGCAGATAGTGACTGAATGGCCATAGGGATCGTTTTTTGTATGTATGTATACATGCACATGTAAGAATGATAGACAATTACTTTAGTAACTTTAACGGTATTCATGCACGGCTCACAGCCTCAACATCAAAATTAAGATGTGCATAGAAAAATTTCATTAACATTTTTTTTTTGGTCGTTTTAGAATACTAAGCCTTATTATGGAACTTTTAAAGCCATAAGGTATGAATTATTGCTATTTATATAACTCAATTTGAACTTGCTTAATTTCGTAAATATCTAATGCGAATCTTAGGCCTCGGATAAGACCCCCTTTTTTTTGATGACGACCACGGCATGCGCATAAAGCACTATGCTTTGAGGCATGCACCTGGAGTGCCCGATAGACGAGGCAGCTGCCACGTAAAAGAGCGCAAATACGATGTTCGATTTGTGGTGGGATAGGGACTTCATGTCGCTGAGTACTGCCATTCACCCCACGCTGAACGAGTTCCCACACAATTTGCATCGAAGCAAGATATCTCAACATCTTGTTTATTCGCACCCACGCCCCGATGAAAGGAAAAGACGAAATGAAATCTTGTTTGGCGATGTCAATGTAATGGTGTGCAAGGAAGGGATCCATGGTCTCTTATTCTTCTTGTAGTCCAATAAGGCGCAACAGTCGTTTCTCTTCTGTGCCAACTGGCGCCAATTGGAATAGCCAACTGAAGCCAAGCCATCCTTCACCTGGTCTTTCCATCACAGAGAAGACGTTCCTATTCCTTTAAAATTATGCCAAAAGCGAGTTCCGATTTGTATGCTACCCGATCTGGAGCTTTTGTGTATCCAATCGTATTAAATGACCGAGCAAGTAGAACCGCTGTATTTTAATTCACTCGGATGTTGTCTATGTCCATAATTCTGCGCTATATACATATGTACATAAATACTAGCATGAGCACATAGGCACTAACTCGTCCCGAACTAGTCCAAAAATTCCGAACTTGGCCCGAAATGACCCCAAAGTAGCAAAGTGGTTACGAACTAGATCCGAAAAAGTCCTGAACTAGTTCGGAATTAAGCTTGAATTTATCCCGAACTAGCTAATAAGGGTTTCTATTGTTGTGGCGTTATTGCATTGGACCATGGATATATATTAAAAAGTGTTGAACACATTTTCAACTATTCATACATATTTTCAGGTGCTTGATAAATCATTTTATTTGAATGAATCCGTTTGTATTGCTTGCGAAATTAACCAGCCTGAGAATGCGCAGGCGCGCAATGAACTCACCGAACTGTGCCGCATAACTGCAGATGATGGTGTTTCTTTGGTGGCTAAACATGTGCCAACTGGTCAAATAGTCGGCGTATCATTCAACAAAATACAGGTAAGGTATTTACATACATATATTTCGTCGAACCTACATACATACATACATTTATTGCAGTATATACCGCCCAACGGTCAAGAACCCTTTTTCATCAAATTCCGCAACGAGCGTGCGCACTCACCGCAGGCACAACGTCTTATGGATTTCATGATTGATGTGGATTCGGAAACGGATGTCTTTGAGCTATATAAAATAGATACATTATTGGAATTAATGTTCCTTGGCACATTACCAGAATGGGGTCGTCGCGGTGTGGCAACCGAATTATGCCGCCATACCATCCAATTGACGCGCGAGCTATCCGCAGGCATTGGCATTGAAGAAATGCATCCACAATTACGTGCTATGCGTCCGAAGGCAGTGACCGCTATATTTACATCGATGTTCTCACAGAAAGCAGGTCGTAAGCAGGGATTCAAAGTGATCAACATAGTGCCCTACAAACGCTTTTCGTACAATGGCAAAACATTTGATCAGACCATAAATCCGATGCACAAAACTTCAGAACATGTTGTGTACTTATTGTAGATTAGAAAAAGAATGCAAAGTAAATCCTATGTAATTGAATATTTAGAATTAGAAAGGGTGCAGAAAAGGCTTTCTTCCTTTTGCTAAATGAATACGCAAGTCCTTTTCGCTATTAGCCATCGAGAAGGAATCAATTAATAAGCTTTGCTAATTTGCACATTGCAATTATGATGTGTAGTTGTTATAATTAAAGCATCATCTAGAAATCGGCTACCACACAATAAGCACAACAAAGAGGTTTAAGAAATATTTTACCATTTATCTAGGCTATTTATGTATGTATTTAAAGTGAATAAAATGATTGCTGATTCACAAAGAAACAAGGGTGAGGCTTCTGATTTCTAATTAATGCCAAGTACATAAAAGAAAAATTGCTGCTTTGGTATTTTCCTAATCAAAATCAGAGTGATAATGAATGAGGACAAAATAAAGTATCTCCGGTCAGCAGGAAAATAGCGCATACGCGTCTCGGCATTCACGTCACTGTTGTCGGTAACAAGTTTATTTAGGCAACAGCATTAACACCGATAATAATGTCAGCCATGAAATCGAACTCTTGCCAACAAGTGGTACTTTGGACTGAGTAGACAATTGAGAAGTAAAGTCCTCTCTCGCCCTAAAAAATCACACTCTATAAGTCACTCATAGTGCCCGTGCTGGTTTATGGCGCGAAGGCGTGGACAATGAAAACATCTAATGAAAACAGACGATGACAAATATCTGCAAATATACAATGCGGATTGCTATGCTGGTAACAGAGGAAGAGGAAGGCCTCCACTGCGGACTAGATGGAGAAGGACTTGGCTTCACATGGCATTTCCAATTGGCTACAGTTGACATAGAATAGAAAGAACTGGCGTGATTTATTGAACTCTGACGGAATCGCTTAGGCGGTTACAGAAGAAGTCACAGAGCGAAAATAGACTGGCTACAATGGACAGCGGCCATGCTTGCCACGAGAGGCCTTCCTGCGACCCCTACCAAAGCTCTGAAATTAGTTTTTTAAACTTTATGGTAGATGGAATAACGAAAATTCCTGTCTAGTTGCAATGCTGCCATGTTAAATACGATCCAGCCATGGGGAGACCTCAAAATGGTACAAGCGAAAGTCCGTGAAACTCTTTTGGCCCCTGTATTAGACCATATTATTCCTATACACGGTCTAGGAAGCAATATCTCTATAACAATCCCAAAGAGGGGCGAACGGGAAGGTGTCACAGACCTAGATTCACAGTTGACGGCTATCTACACAGATGACTCTGAGCTAAAAGACAGGGTTTTTGTTTACTTGACCATTGTAGGGTTACTAATCGCAATAGCTTATGACCTCCGCACATTCAGACTGGCCTGTCAGGTTGCTATCAAATGTTTTAAATCCAACACAACAACGTCCCAAGTAGCCATTGAGTGTAAAGGGGTTCCCAATCATATGGCTCCTTAACCATTGTATACTAGGTCTAAATTTCTGAATTCTTTAGCTGGTGGCAACCCTAATCAAAAATGTTTTCGTAATGGATACATCTCGTTTGATTCTCATATACAAATATTTCATTTAACTTGTTATTAAAATTAATTTTTGCATTTTAAAATAGGTGGCAGCCTATTTAAAATATTCTTCAAATATAACTTTCCTAAAGCCCTCTCGTCGTTTGATACCCATATTGAAAGATTTCGTTTAAGTTGTTAGTTAAACTGATTTTACCGTTTTGAATAGCGGGCAAAACTCTTAAAGAATGTCTTCGAAATAAATCTTTTAGAAACCCCCTTCGCCTGACATTTCAATTGTTGTGATATTTTGCTTAATGGATCTTAGCTTTATTAACATTTGGAACCCTTTAAAAATTAGTTTTGAAATAAATCGTTTAGGAAACTCGTTCGTTCGGCACCCAGATTGCTGTAATATTTTCTTTTATTTACAAATTAATTGATTTTTACTTTTTAAAAGGGTGGCAACTTCTTCAAAACATCTATACACATGTTTATCTACGCTATAACCTTACTGTGTGCCAAATTTAATTGAAATACGTCCAGGCTTTTTAGCGTAAAAGAGCAAGAAACATACTAGCTCACTCACTCACTCACAAACTTTCACAGTAGGGTGGTCCAAAAACAGTAAAGTCGGAATTGTAATGCTTTCACCCCCTAGGATTGTTCTATATCACATGCATTTTTGGACGACCCTATTTCATAGTTATACATGTATGTGCATAAAAAATTATATAACGCTTTTTTGGCGGCAACAAAAACTTTTTCTGTGAGACATCCTAATATTAATGTGCGAGAATATTAGGATTAGATGCATATATTTATTTTTGGCGTCACCGCTATTCACGTTTAGTTGTTAATTTTTCATACTTGAAAAATGTATTGTAAAACTACATACATACATACATATATATGTATATTTCTAAATATCGTTCGTTTGCTGAATGAACGACATAATCCATAATTTCCGAATTTCAGTTTTTTGTCTCGTATAAAATAAATCTTAATTTCAATTGTGTTTTATAGAAATAGAATTTGTCTATTTTGGGCCAGCTTGCAACTTTACTCTTCTTCACTTTGCTTAGCAACTATTGCTTGAATACATACATACATCATTCTTGACCAAAATATGGATATAAATTGATGACAGCTTTATTGTCTTTAATGTTAAATTTTACGATTATATTTATTTTATTGTTAGTGATTACTTATTTCTTTCTAACAAAAAAAAAAAAAAAACTGCCACAAAAATTTTCCAGCTATTTTTTCTAAATTTTTAAATTTTTTAGAACATGTCGTTCTTCCAGCAAACAACAGATTTGCAAATTCATACTGTCGGCATTTGTCGTAAACAGCAGCAATAAAGGGAAATGTCACGTTCATACTATTGGTAATATTTCATTCAATTTAAAATAAACGCTTCAATTTAATGAAATTACTCGCATATCAGTAGCCGCGAAAAATTGAGATGCTCCAACTGTTGGTGATTGTGAGTGTATGTTTGTATGTATGCATGTACCTTTGCGGCAAGAGTGTCATAATATAAATAATCAACAACTAGAGAAAAACGGCTTTAAAGTTTGACATTAACATACGCTCCCATGATAAAAATGAAGACGCATTTTCTTCTAATGCGCTATTATTAATCGATAAACCTATGAAATTTTTACGGAGCAAGACGAAGAGTTGGCGGTTACTTCTACATGCTGAACTCAAAAAAAAAAATATTTTTTGAATTATGGCACTCTTGCAACAAAGGTGCGATCCAAACATATGTATGTACAAAGTCAGCATGACCAGGTTGGCATTTATAGCTTTTCCGGAAATAGTGATTTTTCGTTATGAAATTTTTGGTAATGTGGAGTTTAA